ACACACACACACACACACACACACACACACACACACACACACACACACACACACACACCGTAATGTTGTTTCTGAGCTGTCCTGGGAACCTCCCCTTTCCCGGTCATCAGATTGGGGTCTGTCCTGCCCAGTCTGGCTGTGTGGCTGCTGAGGCACGGCTGAGTGTAACTGGTGGCCCCATCTATTCAGCCCTTAATGACAGACCATATCTGGTGCTGGGCTAGGCCAGGCTATCAGGTGGCAGCAGGTGGAGCCTCTCAGAGGATCTAGGCCTTGAACTAAATCACACACAGGAACAGGCAGGTCAAGCCACTCTTGGCACAAGAATACACACAGCACACACAGCATGCGTGTGTGTATGCAAAGTTACCTTTAAATTTTTTTACTTCTGACGTCTTGGATGTAGTTCTGTGCCAAAACCTTGTTTGTAGGGACTGGAGAAATGGCCCAGAAGTTAAAAGCACTAGCTGCTCTTGGCTCAAGCACCAGCACCCGTATGGCAGCTCACAACTATCTGTAACTCCAGTTCCAAGGGATCTGACACCTTTTGGCCTCTGTGGACACCACATACAAATGTGGAGAACAGATACATGTAGGCAAAAGACCCATACACACAATAATTTTTAAAACCTTGTTTTGTTGGGCTGGAGAGTTGGCTCAGAGGTTATTCTTCTAAACAACCTCTATTCTATTCTTCCAAACCTCTGTCTCTTCTTCCAAAGGTCCTGAGTTCAATTCCCAGCAACCACATGGTGGTTCATAACCATCTATAATGAGATCTGGTGCCCTCTTCTGCTGCACAGGCAAAATGCTGTATAAATAATAAATAAATAAATCTTGGGGGGGGGGGACAACTTGTTTGCACTCAGAAGGCAGAGGGAACAGCCAGGGCTACATAATAGACCCTTCTCAGAGCAAACAAAAAGAAATAAAAACTTTGTTTCAAGCTGCTTTTAGGTTATGTCCCCTTATGTACCAAAAATAAACTTTTGTTTTGTTTTGTTTTGTTTTGTTTTGTTTTGTTTTGTTTTGTTTTTCAGACAGGGCTTCTCTGTGTAGCCCTGGCTGTCTTGGAACTGCTGGTCTTAAACTCACAGAGATCCATCCACCTGCCTCTGCCTCCTGAGTGCTGGGATTAAAAGCATGTGCCACCACTGCCCAGCTCTGATAAGATAGATTCTTATTTGTTTTTAATAACTTACTTATATGTATTTTATGTTCATTGGTGTTTTGACTGCATGTATGTCTGTATGAGTGTGTCAGATCCCCTGGACTGAAGTTACAGACAGTTGTAAGCTGCTATGTGAGTGGTGGGAGTTGAACCTAGGTCCTCCGAAAGAGCAGCCAGTGCTCCCAACCACTGAGCCATCTTTAGCCCCTCTGGTTGAAATTCTTGTTGAAATGTATTTGAAAAATGGGTTTTGATCTTGCTTTTCTTTCTTGCTCTTTTTTTTTTTTTCTTTTCTTTTTCCTAGAATAAGAATGGAGCAGTTGATGTCCATAACCCAGGAGGAGACGGAGAACCTGAGGCAGCGTGAGATCGCCTGTGAGTTGAGGGATGGGAAAGATGAGGGCTTTTGTGGACAGAGCTTGGTAGACCATTCCTCTCTGTCACGTGTGCAGGATACTGAGTGTCCACCCTGAAGAAGGGCAGCCAAGTCTGTCATGGAGCTCACTGCCTGGGGTCAGGCAAGCTGGGATTCTGAGTCTCAAGTTTCCTGTCTCTAGACTGGGGAAAACTAGAGTTACCTGCCTACCACACAGAACTGTCAGGAGGATGCCAGGGGCGCAAGCCTGAGCATGTCACAAACCTGGCTGCTCTGGCTTCTGCCACTGAGAGCCAGGGCCAGCCTTACTTGGGCTCCTGACCAGTCTTCCCCATCCTGCCATGTCCAGTGTGGTCCTGAGCTCCACATGTCCACACCAGTGACACCTGCCCCAGGCAGGCCTGAGAATCTGCAGCCAGGGCCTGAGGAAGGCTACAGAGGGGGTGCCTGTCCTTAGTTAAAATGGAGATTTGCTAGCCCCATCTTTGGGGCCTCTGTCATAGAGGTCCTTTCCGTGTGCCAGACTCAGAGCCAGACACTTGCCATGAGCATGCTCACCACACCTACAGAGGGGTCAGCCCACTGACAGCTCGGTTAAAGGGTTAAAGGTCACTCTGTCGCCATTTGGTAAAGAATAGCTGTAGACTCACCAGATGGGTGTTTATTAAGTTAATGTCACAGAGGTGGGACCAGCATCCAAGGATTTGTGCTTTCAGCCTTTCAAACTTCCTGGTAGCTGTTGCTTTGCCTGAACCCAGGGCAGTCGCTACCACTGAGCCTCACCCAGCCCCTTACTACTGTTATAACTTTAAAAAAAAAAAAAATCAACAAAGGAACTAGAGAGCTGGTTCAGTAGTTACTGTTCTTCCAGAGCACCTGGGTTCTAATTTCAGAGCCTTATGGTGGCTCACGACTGTCTAACTTCAGTTCCGGGGTCCTGTGGCTCTTCTGGCCTCTGTAGCACTGCTTGCATGGCACGTACAGAGGCAGAACACCCATACACATTTTTTTTTCCAAGTTTTGAAGAATCCAACAAAGATGACCGAAAAAGGGAGAAGATAGAGAGATGGCTACATGATAAGCATGTTAGCTGAGCAGACATTAGGACCTATACAGGGAGCTGGGGTGCCCATGCATGCACCTGTGACCCCAGCACTGTGGGGTCAGTGACAGGAGGAGTACAGGCTGTCAGCCTAGTCTGGGTTCTGTGAGAGACCCTGTCTCCAGAGAGTAAGGTGGAGAGAGAGCAGGGCATCCCACATCCTCAGACCCACGTGTACATATATACACCACAGACGGGAGCATAAAAAAAAAAAAAAACAGAAGTAAGCCAGCATGGTGGTGCATGCCTTTAAGTCCAGCACTTGGGAGGCAGAGGCAGGCAGGCAGGCAGCCTGGTCTACAGAGCAGGTCCAGGACAGCCAAGGCTACACAGAGAAATCCTGTCTCAAAAAACCAAAAGAAAAAAAAAAAAAAAAGAACAAAAGTAAGTAGAGCCTTTGCCTTTAATTCCAGCACTCGGGAGGCAGAAGCAGGTGGATCTCTTGAGTTCAAGGCCAGCCTGGTCTACAAAGTGAGTTCCAGAGCAGCCAGGGCTAATAAATAGAGAAACCCTATCTTGGGAGGTAGCTCAGTTGTTACAGAGCTTATGTAGTATCCATGAGGCTTTATGCTTTATCCCAGAACTACAAAAAATAGTTGTGTTGGTGCATACCTGTAATCCTAGCATTTGGGATGGGGAGACCAAAAAAAAAAAAGGTCTTTCTTCCTGCACAGGGAGCTTGAAGCTAGCATACATGACACTCAAAAAATAAAGGTTTTACAAGACTGTCCAGGGTAATATGGTTAATGAGCCTGTAAAGACTTTTTGTTGTTTTTCAAGACAGGGTTTCTCTGTGTAGGCGTGGCTGTCCTGGAACTCACTTTATAAGCTATCCTTTGAACTCAAAAAAGATTTGTCTGCCTCAGCCTCCCTAATGTTGGAATTAAAGGTGTGTGCCACTACTTTCGAAGCAATGTAGATATTTTTTTAAGGCCAGGTGCTGGTGCTCATCTGCAGTCACAGAACTCAGGGTGGTGAGGCAGGAGGATTGAGGATTCAAGGCCAGTCTGGGCTATCTAGCAAGCCTGGCAAGAAAGGAAGGAAGGGAGGGACCTTGTTTAAGAATGACTGTTCACCAGTGAATAGGTGAGCCCTCTGGGCCTTATCCAGGGAACCCCAAGAGTATCCACCTTTTCTTGGCGCTCAAAGCCTCCTCTCCACAGCCGCCATGCAGCAGATGCTGACTGAGAGCTGTAAGAGCCGGCTCATCCAGATGGCCTACGAGTCTCAGAGGCAGAGCCTGGCCCAGCAGGCCTGTTCCAGGTAAGGTAAGGAAGAGTGCTCCCAGGTGAGGGCTTTGAAGGAGTCAGCCAGAGGTCCAAGAGTGGAAGAGAGTTCCCTAGGCCATCCCAGCCTTGGCCACGTTACCAGGGACAGGTGTAGCCATCCTCTGGCTCTCCCATCTAGGGTCATGAGTCAGGGTTAGGCACTGATAAAGTGAGGGCAGCCATCTACCTGCGAGCCCATCCTGTCGGCCAGGTGCTGGCCTGTCTGTGGGGTGGAAGTGTTACCCATCCCCTTTTACACAAAGTCTGGGTGTGACCACAACAAAAAACCAACAAGAAATGCAAAGCTTTGCCTGGTATCGGGGCTCATGCTTGTAATGCCAGCATTTGGTAAACAGAGGCAGGAAATTCAGTTCAGGGGTAAACTACACAGAGAACTCAGCACCCACTTGAGCTACATGAGATGCTGTCTCAGCACTCATACACACACACACACACACACACACACACACACACACACACATACACACAATCAGGAGAGATGGCTGAGCTGTTAAAAGCACTGGCTGCTCTTGTTAGAGCAACACCCACATGAACTCCAATTCTAAGTGATCTGGTGCCCTCTTCTGGTGTCCATGGGCACTGCATACATGCAGAGCACTTCCATACATGCGGGCCAAACACCCATACACATAAAATAAAAATAAGTTTTTTATTAAAATAAGAAAATGCTTTTTAAAAACACCAATCTTTTTTAAAGTTTTTAATGTGAAAGAAACCCAAAGCTAAGACTTGGTGCGTGGGAAGCCAGAGGTTGCAAGCTCTGTGCCACAGTCACCAGCCTTGCAGAGCGTGCACAGAGTACAGACAGTGCGGAAGTGCTGGAGGAACATTCCGGAAGCTGAGTGGCTGGCAGGGTGTCAAGAGGTGGTTATGTCGGAGCCAGGCAGCCACCTAAGGGGGTGCTATGAAGGAGGTCAGTAGAGGGTTGGAATCCAGGACTAGGTGTTCTCTGCCAGCTGGAAGTTCTGCCACCTTCCTTGCTATCCATGAGGCTCTGCACACTGCTGTCTGTCAGTAGTGTTGAGTGGCTGTTTATCATGGTCTCCTCCGAGGTGCCCCGCACACAGTAGGTACTCAGGAAATGCTCAGTGAGTAACTGTGCTGTTTCTCTGGCAGCATGGCTGAAATGGACAAGCGCTTCCAGCAGATTCTGTCCTGGCAGCAGATGGACCAGAACAAAGCCATCAGCCAGATCCTTCAGGAGGTGAGCTCTTGCCTGGGGCCTGGCTGTGACCTCCTGCAGGACCCAGGGACCTCGTGACCTTGGAGACAGGGTACCTGACTCTAGAAAAACACCCCTCCTACTCCCCTCCCTGCCCGTCCCACCCTGAGTAGGGAGTTCAACTGAATAGCCCTGCGCAGGGAGCCAGGGCGGGGCCTCTCGCTCTTGTTCCCCACACACGCCTCTGCTCTCCCCCAGCTGCCCTCCCCAAAGCGTTGCCAGTGTCACGTGGAGCCTGAAATGGACCAAGCAGGGTCCTCACTTCAACCCTGAAGCCAGCCCTGTGCTTGTCACAGCCTTTTCCTTTGTACTCACACCATCCCAGCCCCTCTCAGCCATCTTTTCCACTTCCCCTCCTAACTCCCATCTCTTTCTTCTCCCACAGTAATGTGGTTTACTGTCTGGGGCTTGTCTGCCCAGGGCCTGTGTCTCAGCGGGCACCTGCCTCTGCTTCAGGACAGGCTGGGGCTCTTGTAGACAAGGCACCAGTCACTACCAGTTCCTCATCTGTGAAATGGGCACAGAAGCAGCTGTGTCACCTGTGCTAGAAATCCAGTGTTCAGGGATGGCGGTGTGGCTCAGGGGGTAGAGGGACTCCCTAGCATACCCAAAGACCCAGGTCCACCCAGCACTCATAAAACGCTGTGTGAACACACACCTGTATTCCTGTTGTGTGGGAGGTGGATACAGGAAGACCGGAAACTCAAGGTCATCGTTGAATCTCAGCTACATAGGGAGTTTAAGTTTGAGACCAGCCTGGGCTATGTGAGAGCAGCTCACCTCAAAAATTAATTAAAAGAATCTGTGTGGAGGGGCACTCCTTTAATCCCAGCACTAGGGAGACAGAGACAGGAAGATCTCCAAGTTTGGAGCCTGGTCTACACAGCAATAAAGAGACTCTGTTGCAATAAATAAATAACTAAATAGGTAAATGGATAAATAAGTAAACAAATAAAGCAAAAAGAAATTGAGTGCGTAGTGAAGGAAATGGAAAGCATGGTGGCCAGCCCTTGACACAGGATTTTATCATTTTACCCTTGACACATGGGTTTTATCATGACTTTTAATACAGGCATGCCAAGTATTGCACTTATATTCACTCCCATTACCTTCTTGTTCTACTTCTTATCCCTCCCACTGGCTCTCTTCCCCTTAAAATAGTTCCCTTCTGTTCTCTGGGCTTTCATTCACAAATACATGTATATGAAATATGTATTAACATCTCAGTACATAGTTATACGTATTATATAATATATACCTGTATGTAAGATGCATGTTATATAAATTTATAACATGCATATATATGGTGTTTTATATATTTTTAAAATCTAGAGTCCACGTATGAGAGAAAACCATGATCCTTATCTTTCCTTAACACAGTGATCTCCAATTCCATCCACCTTCCTACAGACAGCGTAGTTCTGTCCTTTCTGCATGAGATCCCGCTGTGTCTGCATCACACTCTCTTTACCCAGTGGCCTGCTGACGTGCATTCAGGCTGCTTTCCTGACTTCAGTTCCGTTTAGCTCTGGAGTTTGTTGATTTTGTTGTTGTTTTGTTCGTGTGAATGGTCTTTGTTGATAAGAGAGAACACTGAAGTCACCCACTACCTTTTTTTTATCAGGACCTGTCTGTTTCTTTATGTGTAGTGTTACTTTATGAAATTAAGTGAGCCAATATTTAGTGCATGTGTACTTGTAATCGCGCGGTATTCTTGGTAGAGTGTCCCTTTATTAACACTTTGACCTTGTCTCGTCCATTTTTATTAAGTTTGGCTTGGTGTCTGCTTTGCTGGGTGCGAACATCGCTGACAGTGCCTGGTTTGATTGCTACTTGCTTAGTACATTGGCTTCTATCCCTTGGGCTCTGTCTTTGTTGAGGTGTGTTTCTTACAGACAGTCCTAAGCTGAATCTAAGATCCATTTACCTTTAGAGTTGGGATGGAGAGAGAGCTCAGCTGGTAAAAGCTCTTGCCAACTGAAATAAGTCTGCTCTTCCAGAGGTCCTGAGTTCAATTCCCACGTGGTGGCTCACAGCCATCTATACTGGAATCGGCTGCTGTCTTCTGGCGTGTAGGTGTGCATGCAGGTAGAGCACTCATGCATAAAATAAATAAGATCTTTAGAGTTACAATGGCTGAGGCTTGCCGACACCTCTGACTCTACCTGCAGCTTTACTGAGTGGTTTGGATTTTGTTTGTTCTTTTCTTTCCCCCTCACTCACATTAGAGGTTTTCCTGTTTGCTGTGACTTTGTCCTGGTTCCCATCCCTTTATCTGTTCCTCTCATGAAATGTACTCTTTCCTGGGCTTTCATGACACTATTTTTCTTTCTTCTTAAAGACCTGTTTATTTTATTTTATGTGTGTGAATGTTTTGCCTGCATGTGTGCCATTTGCGGGCTCTGCTTTTGGAGAAGAGAAGGTATTGGATCTCCTGAAACTGGAGTTACAGATGTTGCTGGCTGACGCGTGGGTGCTGGGAAATGAACCGAGGTCCTCCGCTGGAGCAGCCAGTGCTCTTAACCTCTGCGCCGTCTCTCCAAGCTTACGTAAGAACCATGTGCAGTGCTGGCTTTGTGGCTTTAGTTTCTCTTGGGAATCCCGTGCTTTCCTGGCTTTGAGGGTTTCTGCTAAGGAATCTGCTGTCATCCTCATTTTGCCTTTGTTAAGTGAGCTGATGATTTTCAGTTGCAGCTTTTAAAAAATCATTACATTTATTTATTTGGGGAGGGCCACACAGTACCTGGCGGGGGTCAGAGGACAAATTGTGGGAGTTGGTTCTCTCCTTCCTACACATGGGTCCCAGGCCTTCATGTGAGTCCTCAGGTTGTAGGGAGCCCCTTTACCTCCTGAGTCATCTTGCCTTCTTTAAGATTTTAATTCTGAGCTGGGCGTGGTGTCATCTCAGCACTCGAGGAGGCAGCAGCAGGCTGGTCTCGGGGAGTTCTAGCCTTGTCTATAAAGAAGCCTAGGACAGCCAAGGCTACACAGAGAAACCTTGCCTTGAAAACAACAACAAAAGATTTTAATTTTGTTTTGTTTTGTATTCTTGACAGTTTAGCAGAATGTGATGGAAAGGGTATGTTTGGGGGCTTCCAAGTGCCTCTTGTTCTTGAGTATATATTTCCCTAGATCTGGGGATTTTTCAGCTATTAATTTTTTTTTTTTAATGTATCTGACTGTTTTGCCTGCCTGTATGTCTGTACAGCACATTCATGCACTTCTCATGAAGCTCAGAAGGGGCATCAGATTCTCGGGAACGGGAGAAACAGACAGTTGTGAGCTGCCATGTGGCTGCTGGGAACTGAATCTGGGTCCTCTGGAAGAGCAGCCAGTGCTCTTGGCCACCAAGCTTAACCACTGAGCCATCTTTCTAGCCAAGATGGCAGTTCACAGTTACCTAACTTCAGGTTTGGAATTCAGCTATAACTTCACTGAATGTGTTTTATGTGCTATTAGTTCTTGTCTCCTCTCTTTTGTCCCAGGGGGTCTTAAGTTTGGTCTCTTGATCATGCCCCAGGATTTTTGAGTTTTTGATTTAATGTTTTAATTAATTTAGGGAGTACACATGTATGGATGGTGTTCTTGTACATGTGTGTGCAGGTGAGTGTACGTGTGTTTGTGTGCTGATTTATTGAAATTTCCAATTCAAACATTTCTATTATTTTTATTTTTTTTAAATATCTATTTCCTCGAAAAATTTTTTATCCATGTCGGTAGCATTTTCATCCAGACCTTGAAATTCCTTACTTTATCCATTTACTTGTTTATATTTCTTTTTTAATTAAAAAAGGCATTGATCTTTTTTATTTAACACGTAAAACTTTTGAATTATTTGTCTGGCATTTCAACCATTTCGGTGTATCTGAATTATGTTACTAGGGAGTGGTGGTTCTTTGGAGCAATCATTTTGCCTCGACTTTCATGTTTCTTGTGTGTCTGCCCTTGTGATGTGCACATCTGTTGGAAATGGGCGTCACTTCTAGTTTAACTTGGCCACCTTAGTGACCAGACATCGCTTAAGGACTCAGTATCCAGTACCATTTAAGGCGGGGGGAAGAGGCAGGGAGGTAGGGAGAGAGAGAAGAAGAGAAAGAGAGAAAGAGGGGGGTATATCCTCCCCCACTGAGGACCCAGGACTGGAGCCCAGCTGTGTCCACCATTTTGCTCTAAGTTTCTAGTGTTTGGAGCCGTCCTTTCTCCACCTCTGGTTGTTGATGATCTTCTCTTAAAATCAGAATATGCTGCTACCCTGCCTTTTCTCAGTCAGAGTCATACGAATGCAGCTTCTGATCTGCTGTCCGACCTCAGAGCCCTCCACTGCCCAGCCTCATTTTTCAATTTTAAATGTATAAAAGTTACTTCTCCAACTGTGTTTGGTGGCCTATGTCACCAGCACCCAGGAAGCTGAGGCAGGAGGATTGCTTTGAATTCAAAACCAAACTGAGCTTCATAGACCCTGAATCAAAAGGAAAGAGAGAAGAGAGTTCATTTTCTTTCTACCCAAGAAGTGGAAAATTACGCTTTAGGATGTTTTATAGACAGGTGTGGCTCCCTTGACTGGTGTGTGCGCCGTGGGAGGAGGGAGCACCGCCTCAGCCGAGCGCTCTGTGCTTGGTCTCTTGCAGAGTGTGATGCAGAAGGCGGCATTCGAGGCTCTCCAGATGAAGAAAGATCTGATGCATCGGCAGATCAGGAACCAGGTGAGTGCCGGCTGGGCCACCGCATCCTGTCCCCACTTGCAGACCTGGCTCATCGGGGCAGCAGTCCTTACAACTCCTTGCTTCTCACTTTGGAGACCTTCTTTTCCTCAACAACCAACAATGTGGTTGTTGGTTTGTGCCTTGAACAGCAGAGGAGGTGGCCTCTTCCCAGAGCCTGACCAGAAAGAAGCCTGCTGGACAAATGCAGTGTTTCCATAATACATGGGCCAAAGAAAAGGCAGACTAACATGACCTTTGGGAAACTGGCCAGCTCAGACTCCAGTGCCCCCATCAGCTCAAAATGACTGAACAGCACATGGCTTCTTGGGGTGGGTTGGATCTCTCACTTGAGTAGGCAGCCAGGTCCTAAAATCTGTAGAGAAGGCCATGGCCTGGGAAGAGGAGGCCACCCTCCCATCCATACTCCACTCCTGACCTGTGGAATGGTTTTGGTCAGGGCCCCTGCTGGGCCTCATTGGGCTGGGGCCAGAGGCACTGCAAGCTGTCAGGCTATGGGAACACACATCGCTTCGTATTCACACACTGAATCTCACATTTTTGCATGCTCTCTTTTCTTTTTTCTTTTTTTTTTTTTCCTCTTCTTGTTTGACTTTAACCAACTTAAGTTTTTTTTTTACCTCCCTCTTTAATTTCAATCCCACGTTGCCAGACATGAAGCTCATTCCTCTGACCAGGGGTTGGTGACATCAGATACTCAGTGCTGGAAGAGTATGGCCACAGGGTCATTAGCTGGCATGGGGTGGAGAAGTCCCTGGCTGTGGGGTCTGAGAGCATGTGTGGACCCCAGATATTCTCAAGGACCTTGTTCCTCTTCAGACCCTGAGCTGGTAGATCCCAGGGAAACATTCTTTTGCTATCTGCTCTTTGTCCGTGGACAACTTATTTTAACCTCCCTGAGCGCCAGTTTCCTTATCCTTGTAAGGAAAACAGTGATACACCCCCACAGCCAGAGAACTGGTGACATGATTCCACTGCAGCCCAGGCCTAGCACACAGTAGGTGGTCAGGAAATACCTGCCGCTCGTTGGTGGGTCACTTTGGTTACCCTCTGGCCCCCTTAAGAGCTGCATAGAAGAAGTATAATACTCCCACAGCCCACAGGTAAAGGGCTCAGTGGTGACCCAGGCGGAAGGTCCATCTTGCAGACCTTCACTCTGAGATGGGCTCTGTACTGGACTCTCGGTGGTATTAACTGAGACATATATAACCATGTTTCAGGCCACCCAGAGCCATGAGGTAGCAACTTGTTTTTAAACCCTTAGTGAGATCCCAAGGCCCACAAGTTCCACTTTGTCCAGGGCTACCCAGCCTCCTGACAAAGGTTTCTGAGTCCCTGCGTGGCCAGGCAGCAGTACATAAGGGAACCATGGTGATTGTGAATCAACGCCCCTGTTTCATCTTCTGTTTAGATTAGGCTAATAGAAACTGAGTTACTGCAGCTGACACAGCTGGAGTTAAAGAGGAAGTCCCTGGACACAGAGACGCTTCAGGTATGTGAGGCTCCCAGCCAGAAGACACCCTCACCCCACGCCAACCCTGAGCTACTGCTCCTCAGCTCCAGACACAGGCTCCCCCAGCAGACAGACAGCAGGGCCAGCCCCGATAGAGCCAGCGTGGTCCAGGGGCAAAGGTAGCTTTGTGCTGGGCAAGAGGGTCAGAGGAAGGAGGGCTTCATTGCCAGGCCCACTGGGCCCATCACCATCTCTGCATTCCCCTCTCTGGGCTGGTGGCTGTGTGGTCAGGCGGGCTTCAGGTCCCACTGTCTGGGCTGACATTCCTTGTGGAGGTGTCCAGTATGTGAAGCTGGCCTGGATGTCCTACTCACAGACCCCAGAGGGCATCACGGATTGGCACATGGAAAAAAGGGCTACCTTGCTCTTCCCTGAACCTCAGTCTCCCCAGATGCACACAGGGACAAGGTAGGATGGCATGTGAGCATGCGCCCATGCCAAACTTTGGGGCAGCTTTCATCTGTCACTGTCACTATGTGTGCCCAAGGGAAGAGTCTGAGTTGACCTCGGCCTTCCAGTACTGAGAGTCCTGCCGCCTCTAGGTCTGCCCAGCTTGCTGGGTGGCCTTAGACATGTCATTGTCCCTACTGGGCCTCTCTTTCACCCCTCTCTAAGGCTGAGGCCATCAGTCATGGCTAGCCTGTGCCATCAGCCCATCAGAGAGTGTTCTTGGTGACCTCTGATGGTTTCCACAGATAAGGAACTGGGTTCCTCAGAGAAGCTGCCACTGTTAGGACCTCCATGGGGTTTCCAAGGACAAGAGGATAAGTTGTGGCCACAAACAAAGGGCGTTTGCTTGTATCTCCCTGTGTGGCAGCTTCCTCATCGTAGAGGTCCCACATCAACCTCCCTGCCATTTGCTTCCACCCATGTACTGTGGTCAGTTGGGACCCATGGCTTGTTTCTTTTGTTTGGCATTTCTCACCCTCCATTGTCATCATCACTAGGGTCCCATGCCTGGCCTGGAGCCCACAAAGAAGGGAGTTGAGGACTTGGGAGGAAGTGGGTGGCATGCCAGAGTAGGCATGCCTCAGGGTTCTGTCCCTCAACTCGGCCTAGAAACATTAGTCAGAGCCCTGAATTCAGTTAGTGGGGCTTCCGGGCCATCCCAGTTGCATTGTGGGGACCACTGTGAGAGCCCACGGGGCCTCAGGTCTGATCCTGTGTTGCAGGAGATGGTCTCGGAGCAGCGCTGGGCACTCAGCAACCTGCTCCAGCAGCTCCTCAAAGAGAAGCAGCAGCGGGAAGAAGAACTGCGTGGCATCCTGGTATGCTCTGCTCTTGTCTTCTGCTCCACACCACCTGCGCATGTGTGCATCCCTGGCGTGTGTCCCCTGGGCCTGCTTGCTGTGCTTTTGAAACACTCGTTATTCCATAGTAGGTGCTCATCAAAGGGGAACTTAAGGGCCAAGGAAAGTGTCACTCAGTAACTGTTTTAGTTCCTTGGACACACTGGTATAAAGGAGAGTTTGTTTTCACCCACAATCCAGATTATAGTCCATCCCTGGGGAAATCACAGTGGCAGTGCTTGACGTGGCTGGTCACATACCTCCAGAGTCTAGAACACAGCGTGATGAGTGCACAGCCTCTGCACACAGTGCTCGCCATGCCCTCAGGACATGGAGCAGGAGCGGGCCCCACCCTGTTTGTTTCCAATTGCCTTTTACTGCGGTATATATCAATCAGGTGGGCTGAGCCCTGCCTGCAGACACCACTCCAGCCCGGTGGGTACCTACACACTGAGGACCAAGACTAGGCCCGCCAGCCAGGCCTGAGAAGATGGGGTCACTCCTATCTTGTGAATGTCTCAAATGTCCCCCAGCTCCATCCCACGTCAGCTGAAAAGAGGGAGGCCAGCTCCTGCGGAGTCCGCACAGCCCAAGTGATGTGTTTTGTGCCCATCCAAAGTGACCCATTCCCCAAGGTGCCTCACTAGTGTGAGTGGTGTCCCTGCCCTCAGCAGACCTGGGAGCCACATATCTAAGGGGGGAGGCACCTGCATACCAGTCAGGACCATGGATACAGAAGGAAAATATTGCCTGGCATAGTGCTGCGCTATAATCCCAGCCCTTCAGAGGCTAATGGGGGAAGATCATGAATCCTAGACCAGTGTGGAGACATAGCAAGACCCTATTTCAAAAAAATACAGTACAGAGAAAACTAGAATAGAGGGTGAGGTGGCTCAGCGGGTAAGAGCACTTGTTAAGCCTGGTGACCTGCATTCTAACTGGGGACACACATGGTGGGAGGAGAGAAACAACTCCCATGAGTTGTCCTCTGACCTTTCCCTGGACATTACTGGTGAGGGGTGGGGTTGTGTGCCAGTAAATTAATGTAATATACAAATTTAAGAAGAAAAGGAACATTCTTGGCCCTCTCAGGAGAACAGCAAAGGCAGGCAGACACAGAGAAGCTGGGGGATGCATCTGTCCAAAGCACAAGTAGACAGGCCTGTCTGGTCCTGCTGTGACCCTGGGCCTGATGAGTTGGGAGAAGAGAGGGCATCTTTTCCGTGTACAGCCCAGCATGGCCCACAGTGCTGCAGTAGCTATGGTGAGCACCAATCAGAATCGAATCGCTAGCTCACTGCCTCATCCCGGCACCTAGGACAGCGCCCACCCAGGAGGACCCTTTACTAACATTTCCCAAATGGCAGAGTGAGGACCTCCCTGCCATTGGTATGTCCACCTTGTCCAGCAAAACAGCCCTCCTCAGAAGTCCTGAAGGTCCTACAGCCACCTGCCTGGCATCCAGAAGAAGGCCTGCCCTTGTTGGGGACAGAGACACTACACAAGACTTTGCTGTCTCATAAACAGACCAAAAGGCATCCCTCTCAGAGATAGTAGAGAGTTGGGACCTAGCGCAGGAGGCCAGGAGCAGGCTCCCCTTGCCACATGTGTGGTCCTAAGCAGCTCGCTGCTCTTCATCATGCTCACTCCCACAGCGGTTGAGCGCAGCTGAGCTTCTGTCTTTGCCTTGTGCCTTAAAGCAAGGACAGCAGGTGATGGGAAAGTCACGCACACCTGGAGGAGCACAGGAGGCAACATGGTGGTCTGACAGCCTCTGTTTCCTGACCAGAAGCTAACCAGCGGTTAATGGGGCTGACTTCTGTTCTTGGCAGGCGGAATTAGAAGCCAAGAGTGAAACAAAGCAGGAAAATTACTGGCTCATCCAATACCAACGGCTTTTGAACCAGAAGCCTTTGTCCTTAAAGCTGCAGGTAAGGACCTTGGTACTCATCTGGCCTGGAAGCCAGAGGGCCTAAAGGCACCTCAGCCCAGCCCAGCTGGGGACGGCTGCACCGGGACTCCAGTGTGGCAGCTCCCCGCAGGGAGAGTGAGTGAGTATTCACCCTGAGGAGAGAGAAGCAAGACATTGGTCACTACTGTGCTAGAGGAAACTTGTGAGCTGTGCAGCTGGGTGGGCAGACATGGCTAAACTTCCTTTTTGCACATGCGCGCCCGTGCGCGCGGGGGCACACACACACACACACACACACACACACAGAGTTTTTATTTTGTTTTTGAAACAAGCTCTCTATATTGCTCTGGCTAGCCTGGAACTCAGAGATCTCCCTGACTCCGACTGCTAAGTGCCGGGATTAAAGGTGTGTGCCATCACACCTAGCCTAACACACAATTTTTTTTGAGGTGGGGTCTTACTGTATCACTGGCTGTCCTAGAACTCACCGTGTAGATTAGGCTAGACTGGAACTGAGAGTGGTCCATGTGCCTCTGCCTCCTAAGTGCTAAGACTCAAGTGTGTGCCACAGACAGCTTACTTTGGGTTTTTGTGAGATGATCTCACTGTGTAGCCCAGGCTGCCCTTGAACTTACCGTCCTCTTGCCTCAGCTTCTGAGTGCCCTTACTCGAGGAGTGTACTACCACCCCTGGCTTGCATTTTTGTGTTTTATATGTGTGCGAGCATGGTATGTGGGTGTGCAGTGACTGGAAGCTGGCATGGAGTGTCTTCTCACAGTCGCTCTCCTTCATTGTTTTATGTGTACGAGTGTTTTGCCTGTCTGTGCTGTGTGTCTGTGCACAGCCTGTATGCCTGGTATCCATGAGATCAGCAGAGGGCTTAGATCCCTGGGACTTAGGTTACAGACAGTCGTGAGCCACCATGTTGATGCTGAACATCAGCCTGGGCCCTCTGCAAGAAGAGTAAGCTCTGTCGACCACTGAGCCTTGTCCATACAGTTCTGGTGACTTGCTCTTCTCCCGTAAATACTGATGGGCAGCTTCCAGACCATGCTCACACAGCTCCCCAGTGTTCTCAGGGGCCTGCGTGTGCCGGGTGTGTAGCCGGGCTTCTGTAGCCAGCTCCCTCCTGATGCATGTTGAACAGGCATAGAACAGCAGTGAACTCCCTCGTGGGTGGATCTCTGTGCACTTACACACAGCTTCCTGTGGGGAAAGCACAAGGATACGGTTGTGTCACATACTCAGACTGCTTGTCCCATCTTGAAGCCAGTGGATCTTATTCCTTCCTTCCTGACCCCCTTGGCCTTGCCCATGGGGCCATCCTGCAGGAAGAAGGCATGGAGCGGCAGCTGGTGGCCCTGCTGGTAGAGCTGTCTGCCGAGCACTACCTGCCCATCTTCGCCCACCACCGCATCTCACTGGACATGCTGAGCCGAATGAGCCCTGAGGACCTGGCTAAGGTGGGCAGCCGTTGTCAGAAAGGCCGACCAGGCCTGGACCCAATGTGACAAAGGGTTGATGCATGTTCTGTTCAATTTTTGCTGAGTCCAGGTCTGTCCAGATCAGGTGACTCTGGGTCTCCGTGCATCTCGTGGCCAGAGCCGCTGCCCCCTCTGCCTCCACTTACCTGTGTGCTCAGCCTGTCATTAGCTAAGAAAATGAGGACTGTGGGTCCTGAAGTTTGGATCTGCACCTGTAGGGCCAGCACAGGTCAGCGTCAGCTTGTGCCATGGTGTCACGTTCATAGCTGTAGCACTGCCTGAGCTCCAGTTACATCCTGACCACAGTGTCAGCTCCTTTCATGGAACTGATCCACCCTGGACAGATGCCTCCACCCAGGACAGAGGCAGGGCCAGGCTCAGAAGGACTTCATGACACCGTACGGTTCTGGCCGTGTGCTCAGACACTGGGGCAGGACTGTGAGGCTCAGGCATGGCTGCTTCAGTAGCTCTCTGTCCTCACCTCACCACATACAGTGACAGGGGTGTTCAGGGTCCAGAGGAGGGTCGGTGCAGGTGGCACTGTCTGGGCAGTCCCTGCCCCCTGACACACTGAGTAAATCAACGTACGTTACAGATTTCGCTCTGCCACAATGATGTTCCACCCAGGCCTGAGTCAGCCACCTACACAGCGGTGGCTCTGCCCTGCCTCATGCTGCCCCAAGGCCCAAGCTTCCTGTTTCCATCGAATGTGCCAGAGGCGGAGGATGAGGCATATGGGCATGGGCACTATGTGGCGGTTTAGTGCTGGAGAGCTGGTTCCCGCCCGGGCTCAGACCTGCCCTCAGCCCCTGGTCTGCTCTTCCCTGCTCTGCCACAGGTGGGCGTCTCGGAAGCAGGCCTACAACACGAGATCCTACGGAGAGCCCGGGACCTGCTGGATGTGGCCAGGGTCCAACCAGGTACTGAGTCTAGGCTCTTTCCAGGGTTGGTTAGACGCACCGGAGTGTGTGGGCTGTGGCTGACAACCTAGGGGCTACTAGCCCCAGGGCAGAGCTCTGGATACAGAGGGGGCTTTGTTTGGGGGAGGGCAGGGAATAGGCATAGTTGGGTTGTTCCCATTCTGTCATCACCTGATGGACCCATCCTGTTTCCTGGGAAGCCACTAGCTACTAGCTGAGGGCTCCTGTCCTGTGGCTCCACCACTGGGTGGTGATAGGGTTCCAGGCAAGTGATGTCCTCTCTGGGAGCCTCACGTTTCTGAGGCCTCTCTCATCTCTGAGCTCTGAAGGATCCACAAGCAGAGAGTACAGTCTCAGGGCAGAGAATTCATTCCCATCTCACAGATGGAGACTTAGGAATGAATGAGGCTCAAAGAAAAGAGCCTTTCCCTGCTCTTGGAATGGAGGCACCCCCTCCTTTGCCCGCAGATCACTCACTTTGGGGTGTGCACAGCCAGGAGATCTCCTAGGGTAGGGGTCATCTGGGGATGAGTCCCTGGGTTAGCCTTGTACCCCTGACTTCCTCAGAGCTGAAACTACCCACGAATGAGGTCCCTGGTGTCCTGGAGCCTTCTGCAGCCCCTGAGTCAGTGAGACCGTCGGCACCCCCGGCAGAACTGGACATGCCAACCTCCGAGTGCGTCGTGTGCCTGGAACGTGAGGTGAGTCTGGGGAGATGCCACAGAACCCAAAACACAGGACACCAAAGTGACCCCTGTTCCATGACCCAGATCCGCCCAATGCTAACATTTTCTACAGGCTGTTTTTCCCCAGAGAAAGGACTTTTCCTTCCGCTTATTAACTATATTAGGGAAAATTTCCCCCATCATGACTCACCAAGAACACGGTTTTCCCTGCCAAGCCTTTTTTAAATTGTTGCAAAATTAACACTGATTGCAAAAAGTCAGCATGGCGGTGCGCAAAGCACAGATCCTCCCTCACAGCCACCGCGGGCTCAGGCGTAGAAAGCAGCCAGGGGCCTGGGCATGGTGGTGCACCCTGCAGTCCCAGCTTGTGAGAAGTGAGGCGGCCAGGAGCCCTGCGAGTCTGAGGGCCTGATCCTGCCTCAAGAAACCAAGAAAGGGCTGGAGAGAGCCTCATGCTGGCTGCTCTTCCAGAGCACCGGTGTTAGGTGGCTCACAACTTCAGGGGATCCGACGCCTGCCCTCCATGAGTAGCTACACACACGTCACACACACATAAGTAAATAAATGAGGCAGCCGTGGTGGCAGCTCGCAAGCTCTCTGACCTTCAGAAGATTTGGGGATGCTGTGTGGTAGAGGGCTCAGCAGTTAGAACTCTGACCAGGCAGGCCCTGTCCTCGGGCTCTGAAAGTGACTCCTAATTCCTTGGCTTTGAAGCAATTGCAGACTTCTCGGGACATGTGTGTGCCAAGGGGTCGGGCTAAGGCAGAGTCAAGGGGCACATACAAGGCCACTGACCTACAAGGTGGAAGCTGTTTTGGACCAGGCATCAGAATTTGACAAGTGCATGCCCACAAAATAATGACAAATAGGCTGAGAGCCCCCGGTGGGGCACGCCTGGCATCCCAGCACTTGGGAAGTGGAGGCAGCTCAGGGCGTTTGGCCTAGCATGAAGTGCAGGAAAGGGCTGTTGGATTGCAGGGACTTGAATGCTATCTCAATCCACAGAGAAACAGGCAGAAAACTGCTAAGGGGCCTGACTAGGCTTTTACACCGGCTGGCGTGCTCCTTGGGGCTTGGGAGGTGGTCACGCCGGCCAGAAGAATCGGGTAGCCAGGCCATCGATGTCGCTCTCCCCGCAGGCCCAGATGGTCTTCCTCACCTGTGGCCACGTCTGCTGCTGCCAGCAGTGCTGCCAGCCGCTGCGCACCTGCCCGCTGTGCCGCCAGGAGATCGCCCAGCGCCTCCGGATCTACCACAGCAGCTGAGCGCACAGCCGCCCACCAGCCCTGGCCCTCTCTTGCCACCATCTTCATCCCTGCTGGACTCCATCTACCCACATCCCCCAGACTAGAGCAAGACTGCTATAGGCCCCTTGCCACCACCTGCCACCCCTCCCCCCACTGCCGTGAGCTCTGGGCAGGCAGGTGGGGTATTCCTAGCTATTCTGAACAGTGAACGAGAGACAGGGCAGATCTGCTGGTGATGGAGCCTTGTGGGATAGGGTCGAGGTCCAGGGTATGGGGGTGGCCCTGCCACCAGCAGGACTCAGGAATCCATGTTACTACCCAAGCCTCAGTGCTACAGCCAGCACTCTGCTCCTGGAGGCAATCCAGATCAGCAGAGTGCACCAGCCGTCCTGGCCTGAGGGGGGGTGACGGCCCTGGGAAGGAAGGGGTGGGCTGTGCAGGAACCACTCCGCCACCATCTGGCCAGAGCTGGGCCAGAAGGAAGGCAGCAGAGACATTATTCAGTGCAGAGGCAGGCAGCACCCTCAACAGAGGGCAAGGGAACAGTCAGGGTGGGGCCTCATTCATAAACAGCTGGTACTCATGGGATGGGTTGTGTTCCCTGCAGTGATTACCCTAGGTAAGGGGGCTGCCAGGCAGCTGAAAGGCATGTCAAATCTGAGATGGGGGTTCACCCCATCAGTAGCGATGAAGGGTTCCATGTGACATGATGCCCTTCTGCCCTCCTCAGGATAATGTATATGACCTACAGCATGTGCTCAGCAAATGCTACCACTTGATGGGCTCTGGGGCTCACCAGCCAGCCAGGCTGTCCTAATTGGCGAGTTCCAGGCTCGTGAGAGACCTCATCTCAAAACACAAGGTGGATGAGATCTGAGGTCCTTCGCCTTCGGCATGTGACGTCACACGTGTACACACATTGCAGGAACACAGATCAGGGACCTAGCAGCTCATGTGATGAGCCCACGAAAGCCGAGGTGAATGGGGTTCCCAGACACCCTTGGGCCAGGTCTCCCTGACCCCAGCAGACATGAGGAAACAGCGTTAAATAAAGCATTTATTGATGAGCAGAAGCTTACACAGTTTGCATAGATTCTTCATACCATATCTGGAAGGATGGTGGAAACCCCCAAGGCACTAGAGAGCATCAAAGAAATTAGTACACGTTGGAGTGGAGCTGGGGACTGGGTGTCCCTGAGCACCGGCTGCTTCCTGTGGGTCTGAGGCCCGTATCTGGGGAGCAGATCCACTGAGCACACAGCTGGGAGGGGACTGCCTCCTGTGAGCGTTGAAGAGGCAGCTTCTGCGTCGCTGTCCCCACCCCAGCAGCTGAGTGTGGGAGGCCCAAGGTGAGGGTCATCCAGCCGAGTCACCCTAGTTTGACCAAACCTCATGCTTGAGGAGACGAACCCAAACAGCTCACAAGGACATTGAAAGGGGTCTGGAACTGCCAGGGTTAAGTGACACGGGACTGGAGAGGCCAACGATGGTCAACAGTGTCTCAGAGCCATGGCCCTCGGGAGCTCCTCCAGCCCACATCTACGCCCTGCCCAAGAGCAGTTGTCAGCCCAAAGTGGGGTTGGGGAGCCAAGCAGATGGATAGGAGCACTGAGCGCCTGAGACACACTAGCTTCCAACTACCTTCACTTTGCCATTCTGGCCTCAGTCGGACACTCCCAAGCTTCCTCTCCTCAGGACACTTCCTCTGCACAGACTAACACATTCTTTGTCATTCCATCACAGACCCCTCATCACTCCCCTGTAAGACTCCCCAAGCCCCACCCTCCCACAACAAAAGCCAGCACAGTGAAGCCAGTGTCCACTCAAAAGTCTATCTAGCCTTGGGGCCTGCAGGGAAGGGCCAGGACAAACTGGACAAACTGGGCCTCCACCTCGTCACATTGGTGCCAAGGAGCCCCAGAGTGAGATGACAGTATACCAGCCTCCTAGACTTGAGTCACAGTGCCAATGCTTTCACCCACCTCCATCAAGAACCACCATGAGGGAAACACGAGGGCAGGATGGGGGGGGCTCCCCAGCGCCTTGCACAAAGAGGAAACCCTCAAAACCAGATCCAGTATTGGAGACCAGCCCACAGAAAACGGGGCAGTAACAGGTGTACTGAACCCCATAAAGTGACTTGATAGGCCAGACCTCTGGAGGTGCCACACCACCCCAGCCACCTCCCCCACAAGGCACGGGCTGGTGTACCCCACCCCAGAGACGAGGCTGCGGTGCCCAAGGAGAAGCAGCCCGGCGCAGAGTCCAACAGAAGCCTGGAGGCCATGCCTAGAACTCCGTCTGCACTCCTGCGCTGTCCTCAGTGGTGGTGTGGATGGGGGGACGGCTACCAGGGCTAGAGACCTGCTCCCCAGTCTCTTGATCACTGGGCTTAGGGGGCTCAAGGTCCACAGCCTTTCCAGATGGGAGATGCCGGAGGGGCGAGGCTGGCGGTGAGGAGGCCTCCAGGACTGCCATGGGCTGGGGGCTCTCCTGGACAGGGGCCCCGTTGAGAAGGGGGCTGGCTGGTGGGGGACTCTCAGCCTGCAGATCCTGGGCCAACAGGCCTTGGAGCTCGGTGACACTGTCTGGGGATGCAGGCGATGTCGGTTCAGAGCCAGCTTCGAAGGGCAGCCCTGACTCCTCATCCTGGACCACAGACACTACCTGCTTGGCACGCCTGCGCTTTTCTGTGAGGGTGGCTGCTTCGGAGGGCCGGGGGCTGTCACCGCTGTCGCTGCCGTCACCGCCGTCACCGTACTGTTCGCCCCAGTCAATGGGCGCGCCCTCAGCCAGCAGGTGTAGGTTGGGGTCGCTGCTATGCAGAACCATGCTGTCCCGGTAGAGGTTGTGTTTGCGCTGCACTGCGGCCTCCTTCACAGCTGCAGAACCACAGGAGAGACGCCGCACTCAGCATGGACCAGCCTAGCAGGCCTGGTGTCCTGGGCCCCTTCTCACCCCCACCACGGTCTGACTGGGCCTCCCTCTGGGCCTCCCTGCTTCGAGAGTGCGACTCAAGCCCAGAGCCCAAGCTGGCAGCCACCCCGTCCCCCCACTGACGGCTTGTGGCAGGCCTCTCCCACACCTTCACGAACGCCACCTGCTGCCCCCTCCAGGCTGCCCCTCCCTGCTCACCCTGCAGGATGTCCTTCATGACTGTCTGCAGCACCACCTCTTCGTATGTGCTCTCCACCAGAATGAACCTGGCAAAGTCCTCGAAGATCAGCTCCTGGAAGCGTGGCAGCTCCTGCCGGGGAAGCAGGCAGGGAAGGGTCAGAGGCTTTACCCTCGCCGGTCCGGGAGGGGTTGGGGCAGGCAGGGACTCACCGACTTGCAGGTGGGGGCCAGCTTTTTGAGCAGGAAGGGGATGGTGATCTGCAGCAGCGCCTCCCGGAAGAATCTCTTGCGCACTGAGCTGCTGTCGTAGTCGTATTTCTGCAGGGAAGGACACAGGAGGGACCCTGGGTCAGGGGCTCTCCTGGCTGGCGGGAGGGTGCCAGCCCCACGGGCCCAGGCTCACCTTCAGCACCCGCTCCAGAATCCGCTGGATGGACTTGCACAACTCCTCCTTGGTGGGCCCCTTCCCCAGCTCTTGGTGCAGGAGGGTTTCGAAGGTGTACACGGCGTTGTCCATTTGCTACAAGGCACACGGAAGGGCTCACGAGACCCTTCCAGGGCGGCCAAGGCCCCTTCCTGCATCCTCAGCCAGTCCCTCCCCCCAAACCCCAGGCCTGTCACAGAGGAGTCGGGCGCTCTGTGCCTTGTATGCTCACTGGGTGCCTAGATGCAGGTGAATGGCTGAGAGCACAGAAGGGACTGCAAGGTGGGAAGGACAACTGGGGATGGGGCGGATCCTAAGGAGACCTGCTGGGTAGCCAGAGTCAGCCAGGTGAGCAAGAGGCAAAGGTGTTCTGAGGAGCACCAAAGGGGAGAAGGGTCTCCCTCTCCTGGTGACGGGTGTCATGGAAGATGGCCAGCAGGATACAGGATAGCAGGGACACACCTCTCGCATGTGGATCTGGGCTCGCTGCTTGAACACAGAAGTGCTGGACACGTCAAAGCGCTGCTGCAGGCCGTCAAGCCGCAGAGGCTCCATCTTCTCATAGCAGCTCTGCATCTTCAGGGGGTGGTACGCCAGCTGAGACAGCTTCTCCATGTACTGCGGGGGCAGGGCCACAGGGGTGAGTAAACGGCCCCCGCATACCCACACCTTGCCTGGGCCTGGCGCCAGCTACCTGGGGGTGGCCTCCTGGAAACTGTGCCTACTAGGGCAAGCCTAGGTGGGCCCAGGAGAGAAGGGAGAGGGAACGGGAAGGCAGTACATCACAGTGTTGAGAAGAAAGGCCAACCCAGGCACTGGAAGACAGCTCTCATCCCCTCTGGGTGCTGGCAACCTTGGGCAAACGGCCTCTCTGTCTCTCTCTCTGTGTCTTTCTCTCTCTCCTCCCACTCTGTCTCTCTCTCCCTGTCGTTGTCTTCAGGCCTCAAATCAGTAGTCATCTCATTGGGATTTCTAAGGTCCTTTGGGTTCTCAATTTCTGATTATTACTGTCTGGGGCTCCCAAACTTGAAGTCTGAAGGAAGAGGCTAAAGTTCAAGACAAACTCTAGGTGCTATAGCCAACTAGGGACTATAGAAAGATATTCGCCCCGAGAGCTAGGTCAGGAGAAGCAGCAGGAAGGGGCAAGGCCTCTGCTTGAGGGTGTGTCACTTGTAAACCACGCAGATTACACCTGAAGCTTGCTTTCCCTGCCTCCTCCACTTATTCTCTCACCTTAATTCCTTTCATACCTTAGCAACCATCTTGCTTCATAAAGGCTGATGGTACAGAGCAAAACTATGCACTCTTTCCTCTAGCACGCTTTCCTCTGCTGGACTGGACCGCTTGGCCCTGCAGCTTTGCCTCTGGTCTCTGTCGATGCTGAGAAAGGGCAGCCCACCCCGAGATGCACAGCAGATGCTCAGGGGGACCAGACCCACGCCCAGGTCTCACCTCGCCCAGCTTGTCAATGCCACCCTCGTTGATCACATTCAGATTCATGTCCGTGACCTCTTTGAAGAAGACGTCCCGCACCTCAGTGAAGCCCTGGCTGGTGGGTACCATCAGGGCCTCTAGGATGGATGGGATGTAGGGCTGGACGTGGTTCCTCACGCACACCTCCGCCTTGGGGAGGATGAAGGCTGTGTGGGGAGAGGGAGGACTTTGCTGGTGGGTGGTGCCTGGGACACAGTCCACCCCATCCCCCCATCCCAGCCCACCCACGCCCCCTCCTGGATGCCAGAGAAGCTGCTGCTACAGGTGCTGGTGACTAGCTAGCTCACTGAGGAAATTCCTCAAAGAGGAATCAGTAAAGACAAAGGTCAAAACCAAAGAAATTGGTCTACCATCTAGCACGCCAGAGGTGGAAGCAGGGGAATCAGAATCTGTTTAAGGGCATCCTCTGCTACATATTTAAAGCTACAAGCTTGAGGCCAGCCTCAGATATGTCTCTCTTTCACTCTTTCTTTCTTTCTCTCTCTCTCACACACACACACAAACACACATACAAAGGAAAGAAGGAAGGAGGGAGGGAGGGAGGGAGGAAGGAAGAAAGGAAGGAGAGGGAGGGAGGGAGGAAGGAAGGAAAAAAGAGAGAAAGGAGGGAAGGAAGGAAGAGAGAAGAAAGAAAGAAAGAAAGAAAGAAAGAAAGAAAGAAAGAAAGAAAGAAAGAAAGAAAGAAGGAAGAAAGGAAGAAAAAGAAGAGAAAAATTGTAAGAAAGGTGCTTCAGTGGATCCAGTGAACTTCATGGAAGCTGACCCCTGCCCTTGCTCTCTCCATCCAGTTCTTTAGAACATTCCAACCACAGCATTTTCCCACAGGGGGTGTTCTGCAGACTACCCCACCTCTGCCCAGATAATACTCATCACACACAATTAACGTCAACTCTCAGTATCCCATTGACCTCCCAGTGAACGTGGCTGGTCCACCGCCACCTGCCAGTACTGTGTGTCAGAGGAACACAAGGTGGATAATTAAAGAAGCATATGCAGCCTACAGAAACTAAGCATTTCCAAGGTGACATGATGTGTCACCAGACCTGGGTTGGCCAAGGATGGACAGAGGTTTGAACCGCAAAGATAAAAATCTCCGCTTTCAAACTCTGAGGCTAGGGTCAAAAGCTTAACTCTCAGATTCAAGTCTAGCCAGAGTAACAAGAAAGACTCTGTCTCAAACAGTAAAAAGAGGCTGATGCAGCAGCTTGGTGGGAGTGCTGGTCAGGCTGATGAGGCCCTAGGTTCCATCGCAGCACCGCCAGCATCAAAGCTGGACTCGCAGAAATAAAACTTACAGAAGGATTTGCAGGAGTCAGAGGGACTTGGATTTGACTCTGATAGTTCAGCAGAATGAGAGGCAAGTGATGGCTCAGGCGACGGGGAAGCTGGCCTGGCCCTGGAGAGCCTCTCGAGCACCCGCACAGTGGCTTCCATTCCCCTACCTCGGATCTTGTTGGCCAGATGCTCCTTGGAGGTGATAATCTGATCCATGTCGGTGCGAATGACTGCCTCCATGGCCGGCCGGGCCAACTGCAGCTTAGACAGCACCTCTTCGAAGTTCACCTTGGCCTGCTCAAACACCAGGCGGTACACGGCATCCGAGATCTATGGGTGCAACAGAGGCGTCAGTGCAGAGCTGACGCCAGAGCGCCAGCCGGCTCCCCACGTCCCTGCCAGGGGTCCCAGGTCCACACACCTGGATCCACTGTCGCTGCCGCTCCTGAGGCTTTCCCTTCAGCCGTGGGCCAAGCTCCACCTTCAGCTCTGGGCCCAGCTCCTCCATCACTAGGTTGCTCAGGATCTAGGACCAAGAGGCAAGAGACAGAGCAGGGGTTAGCACCAATCCACCAGGCTTGTTTTTCTGTCCCTTTCTCCAGCCACTCAAGGCCCCTCCTGTGGGCCTCCACTATACCTCTGTGGCACAAGCTCCCAAACACACCCTATAGTTGTCAGACTTATCTGCCTGGGTGCCAAAGGTCTCTGCACGAGCAAATGTGTGTCTGTCTCCTGGGGAAAGGGGCTGTAGCCATCTTGTTCACAGCTGCCCTGACCCCTAGCACCCACGAACACGTGCAGACAGATTAACAGATGTAGTAAAAATTCTGGAATTTTGAATTTTGGCTTTTTTTTTTTAAAGATACAGAAAAAGGGCGGAAGAGATGGCTCAGAGGTTAAGAGCACTGGCTGTTCTTCTAAAGGTCCTGAGTTCAATTCCCAGCACCCACATGGCGGCTCACAACCATCTATAATGAGATCTAGTGCCCTCTTCTGGTGTGCAGGTGTACATGCAGGCAGAACACTGTATACATAATAAATAAATCTTTACATACATACATACATACACACACACACACACACACACACACAGAAAGAAAGAAAGAAGTGTTTTCGTTTTAATCCCAGGTGTGGGGATATGGGGCTGCTTAGCAGCAGCTGACCATGATTTGCCTCATCTTCTAACTGAGGTGTGGTTTTGCCAGCTGCAGACAGTTTGTGCAATTGTGTGATTTTGGAATTCTGGGAACTTTTCAGAGAGTATGTAAATGCTAGAGTCCTACTAGGTGGGGGTTGGTGGTTGTTCAAGGAGGTTGTTTACATTTTGTCAGTAGTCATGGTCAAAGAAGATCCAGAAGGAAAGAAACTAGATTCAGAGATTTTTCTATTTCCTCTCTCTCCTCTATCTGTTTCTCTCCTTTCTAGTGTTAAGGGGTGAAATGGGAAGGGGGTGGTAAAGGTTGGGGAAAAAAGAACCCGCAAAGTAGCCAAGACTGGCTTTATAAACAGGGTCTCTCTCCCAAATCTGCCCTTGCCATCTCTTCCCAAACCTGTTGCACCCCAGAACCCCACTTCTGTTGCAGCCTTACCGGCTAGGGCCCCCAGGTGACTGCTGAGGACCTCACCTGCACCTCGTTCCCACACAGCATTTCCCAGGTGCCGTACTGCTCCTTCGACTGGCGGTACATGCGGATGGCATCTGTGAACGCAGGGCCCTCCACCTTGGAGTTCTCGGGGATGCCTGCCCAGGACAGAGGGAGGAGAAGGGGAGGGACACAGAAGTCAGCAAAGGACCCTCTGCCAAGACCGCCCAGCCAGCGCACACACTCACCCCATCAAGGTCATCCACAGGAAGAGCAGCTGTGACTCACTGCAGCACCCCAGCAATCCTGGGCTACTCCTCCAAATCAGCACACACTGACTCAGCACAGTCCCTAACTCTCACAGAAAAACGGCCACGAGGAACGAATGGCCAAGCTAGGACTGGGAAAAGTCACCCCTCCCTGCAGACTGTACAACCTGACTCTAGGTCATCCGAGACCCACACCTTAGCCCTGCTCCCACGAACGACCCTCCCATCATGACGGACAGGAAACACTTCCAACCGTACAGGCCAGACAACTTCTGTCCCAGTGCTGGGCCTAGCATCCCAGCTTGCAAACAGCAGAGCTGGTCTTTGTCAATACACCTTGCTGCAGAAGTAGGCCAGGGGCTGAACTTGATCTATGGGCTGCTTTCCGGGTGTTGCGCTATAACACAGCACCCCAAAAGAGCCTCAGTTTCGTCTTATGGGAACAGTGGTCCTAGCCTGGCCTCCCGCACGCACTAGGGGTTGCAATGTGCTGACAATGAGACACAAGAAGTCCAGGGGGGTGGCACCAGGGCCTCTTGAATGACACTTTGGGGTCCAGGGCCCTGAGTGTGTCAGGCATGCTCTCTACCATGAAGCCGTATGTCCAGCCACTAAAGGACACCTTCCCCCCCACCCACCCAAGACATGGTTTTTCTGTGTAGCCTTGGCTGTCCTAGACTCACTTGGTAGAACAGACTGACCTTTGACCTTAAACTCACAGAGATCCACCTGCCTCTGCCTCCCATAGTGCTGAGATTACACCAGGCCCTGAGTTCAGTTCCTGGGGTGGGAAAGGAGGAGGATGGGAGGGGAAAGTGGGAGTGTGAACATTGCTAACAAGTAGGGAAAAATAGTTTTCTGCATTGCTGTTGCTGCTGGTGCTGCTGGTGGCCTGCGTCGCAGGGCAGGTGAGTTTACGCTGAGAAAACAAGAGGCAGGAAGTGGCTGGATCTAAGTAGGGAGTCGCCACGTGCCTCTGACCACAGTATCCCCGGAACCCAAGAAGGGGAAACGGCAGTTTGTTCATCACAAACCCCAGCGCCCACTGCAGCGACAGCGGGCTGAGTCACCCCACAGAGAAAAGCCCCTCCCTTCCCCACAGCCACCGCCAGCTGCCCACAGGGATCACTGCCTGTCAGAGCCAGGGGTATCCTACCAGGGGGCCTGAGGCTCAGGGCCGACAGTGCCCGTTCCTGCACTTCGGGGATCCCGGGACAGGCTGGGAGCAGAGCAGAGGTGGTACCCAAGTTGGGGTAACCAGTGTAGGCCTGGGAGGAACCCCCAGCCAGACCCTCGGAGGAGAGGGCATCTTTCCTGGGGCCCAAGTTCTGTTTGGAAATCTGGCAAGACACAAATTGCAGCCTCTCCCAGGGCTAGGAATTTCCATCCTGCGTGTCACAGGAAGGTGCAACAAAGCAAGCAGGGGTGCAGGGCCGGGGTGCCCCAGCAGGGAGAGGGAGGATCCCACCCAAGGACCCTCTCCGTCCTGCACGTGCAGGTACTGGCCACCCTTCCCGTGAGCCTGGCTGAAAAGTTATTTTCCTACTTGAGTTGTGTGTGCTGTCACTCATCCATGCATGTCCATGTCGAGGTCAAAGGTCAAGGTTCAGTGTCTTCTGTTTTTGTGAATTTTATTCCATTTTATGTGTCTTTTGCCTGCATGTATGTCTGTGCACCTGCCTGAGGAGTCTGGAAGGGGTCTTAGGATCCCTGAAACTGGATGGGAGCCACACACGAGTGCAGGGAACCGAATCCAGGTTCTGTGGGAGGAAGCCGGTGTTCTTAACCACTGAGCTGTTTCAGCTGCGTCATCTTGTTTTTGAGAGACTCTCACACTGAACCTGCAGAACATTTCAGCGCTCATGGCCAGTGAGCCGCTGGTTTCCACGTCCCCTCTAGCACTGGGGTTAGAGACACATACTGCTACACAGACTCTTATGTGGGTGTTAGGGGTCTCAAGGCCTCAAGGTAAGTACTTCACTCACTGAGCTGCCTCTCCTGTCCTGATTGCTTGCTTGGTTGGTTGGCTTGTTTGTTTTTGAGACAGTCTTAGCCCAGAATGGTCTGCATCTCACTATGTTGCCCAAATCTGACCCACCATACCTCACCCAGAAAGAAGGGGACGGTTGGTTGGTTGGTTGTGAGAGAGACTGACAATGTATGCCTGGATGCCAGGCCTTGAACTTACAGAGATATGAGGCAGAATGGTCACATTGAGCCGAGGAGTTTGGGGCAAGATTCTGTCTCAATAATAATAACAATAATAATAATAATAATAACAACAACAACAACAACAACAACAACAACAGTAGTATGCCCAGCAGAGGAGCAACCCCGCTACAGACACTTACCTGGTCCTCTAACCTCCAGAACTAAAAAAAAAAGTAACTTTCTGTTTTGTGAGCCACCCAGTGCTGGGCTGAGATTTCACATACATCAACCCTCAAAGGCCCTGGAATGGGGCGGGGGAGGGGGAGGACAAAGCCACTGACTTTAGAATGCATGGCTATGGAATGGTTAAATCGGGGCTGGAACCCAGGACCTCCTTCTAGTCAGACCCCAAGGACAGAGCATGGACGCCAGGCCTCAGTGCCCCAGCTGCCTCCTGACCCCCCCCCCCCCCGCCACTCCAGGAATGCAGCCTGTGAAGAGGGGGGCCTAGCCAGGCTGGCAGCCACCCAGCCTGGGCTCCTCCCTCCACCCATCCACCCCCACTTCCCGGCAGGGCCAGGAGTGAGCAATCCCAGGCCCAGGAAGCAGAGAACTTTCTCACAGTCCTGGGGTGGAGGGAGCCCTGTCTGGAGCCAGCCTCGTCAGCTCTTGCAGGGGGTAAGCCTGGAGGGTGGGGCTTTCCATCAGTCATTCCTACCACCCCTCCTGCCCACAGCACACATGACCTTCCAGCTGAATGCTTGCTGTGTGTCAGAGCTGCGGCTCTGTCCTCCCCACACGTCCACCTCACAGCTGTGAGGTCCTCCCACCTGGCCCAGTCCTCAGCCTCCTCCAGCCTGACCTGGGTCCCCTACACTGCCACAGTAGGTAAGCTAGCAGCCTGGGGACCTGCAGAGGGCCCATGGGCCAGCCATGAGCGAGGAAGGAGGGTGTCCCAGGCCAGGCAGCCAGAGCCAGAACCCGAACCCCAGGGACCTGGGAACAGGGGCCCTTTGTGGGCAGCAGGGCAGGGCCCAGCCCAGGTGACAGGACTTGGCCTGGCTGAAGACCTTGTTCCCTCCCCTCTGACGGATTCCAGAAGGGGTGGAGGCCTCTCTAGAGAGGTGGGGTGAGCTGGGCTTAGCCCAGGTGCCACCCCTCACCCCCGTCAGGTGGAGCTGTGCCTGACAGCAAGGGTGAGAGCTGCTTTGAGCCTTCCTCTGCCTCTGGGACCACATCACAGGCCCCGGCTATTTCTTCTCCAGGGGCAGAAAGACCCTCATTACCTCACATTCAGGGTCAATCCTAAACCTTTGTAATTCCACAGAACCCTATAAGGCCCTTTCAGACCTGGTCTCTCTCTCCCTCTCCTCCTCCCCACCTTCACACACACACAAAGTACTGTCCCCATTCTGAGCCACCCTTTATGGGGGCCACAGCCTCTTATAGGGAACACTTCCCCCAACCCGTGCACAGGGTCCTGAGTGGCTCCCAGCCAGCACCCAGCACAGAGAACACCATCCTGGTAGCTCATCTGTGCCACCCTGCCTCTCCATCACACAGCTGGTGGTATGTGGATAGGGCGCAGGCCTTCCTCCCCTGTTATAAACTCAGAATAGATGCTGTCAACGTTAGCAGGGTACATGAGTGAGCCAAAGAGTCAAAGCATGAGTTTACAAATGAGGGAGGGAGGAATCTTCCTAGATCACCATGTGCTAGGAAGAAAATTACATCATAAGATGTATTTTGGTGTATAGTGTGACAGGATCTCACTGTAGCCCAGGCTATTCTAGAATCACTATGTAGCCCAGCCTGGCCTGGAATTTGCAGGGATACTCTGCAAACCATTATGGGGAAAAAAAAAATCTTGTCCAAGCACAAAGTAGACCTGTGCTTTGAATTGAAGAATTTAAGTTAGCCTGGGTATAGTTAGCCTGGGTATAACTCCATTTTGAAATAAAGAGCCATCTTGACTGGGAGCTGAACTCAGGTACCAGGAAATATCACAGAATGTACACTTGGCAGAAAACTAAGTTAACTCTCCAGGAAATATCACAGAATAAATACTTCATAGAAAATAGAGACAATCTCCCTGGCAATAATCAATGAGAATCGGTTGGGAATCGGCTGGGAAAATTCTCCCCAGTGTTTCAGATATAGCTTAGAAGAATGCAATTGTGAGTATATGCCTTAGCAATTGTGATCATGTGCCTCAGAGAAGGTCACCTCGCCCCTCTAACTTTTACCCAATCCTGTAACGCTAAGGCTTGTGCCCCCTGCTTGCTGTCATGGAAACCCCTTGCTCGCAGTCTTTCCCTTTAAAAATCCTGCTCACTCTGAGCTCGAGGTCCCACTTCTTTACTGCTGCGTCAGTGAGACTTAGGTCCCGAATTCGCTCTTGTAATAAAACCCTCTTGCTCTTGCATGGAGTCATCTCCTGGTGGTCTCTGAGGATCCTGTGATCCTGGCATTACAGAATCTCTAGTACCCCCAAATACACAAGGAATCCTTTTCTCCATTTTACATAGAACCTAAGAGAGAAGTCCATCTCCATGAAAGTTAATCTTGACTGTCAGCTTGACAGGGCTTAGAATCACGGTGGAAACAAACCTCTGGGCACATACTCGAGGAAGTTTCTAGACTGGGTTAACTCAGGTGGAAGAGTCACCCTGAATGTGGGTGGCACCCCGTGGGCTTCCAGACTGAGTGACAAGGAGGAAGGCGCGGACGGCAGCCTCTGCGGATGCAGGGTGAGCGGCTGCCTCACACTCGCACACCACGCCCTCCCCGCCACAGCAAACTCTCTGTACCCTTGAAATGGAAGACAAGATAAACCTCTTCTTACTTTAAGTTGCTTCTTGGAGGTATTTCTGTTACAGCAACAACACTAATAACCACTTAGCTTCTGAACATCAATTGCTAGAAAGTGGCAAATATCGGGATGATTTTGGGGATGGAGGATCCATGAGCTCAACAACCATAGCCTTCTAAGAACAATTTTGTAATATTTCCTTGGCAACACAGAGGTATTTTCATCAAGGAAGAAGATTAAGAGTGATAATCAAGGTCGGGTGGCGGGGCGGTGGTGCATGCCTCTAATCTCCACACTTGGGAGGAAGAGGCAGGCGATTTCTGTGAGTTCGAGGCCAGCCTGGTCTACAGCGTGAGATCCAGGACAGCCAGGGCTACACAGAGAAACCCTGTCTCGAAAGAACCAACAAAAGTGATAAAAGTTTCTTAGAAGGGGGGATACAAAGTGAATAAAATGTAATTAATAAAGAATTTTTAAAAAAAGAAACTCATGTTATTGGGCAACTGTTATTTTGCACAACAAACAAATTTAACTACTGCTTTATTATCCATAGAAAGGATTTTTTGCTTTATAAATACTTTAAAAATAATTTTTATAATAAAGTTTATGAAATATTAAAAAAAAAGTTTCTTAGAACCTCAATAGAGCAGATCGTAGAGCAGAGTAGCCATGCCACACACATCCACTGGGTGTCGCCATTCAGCACATTAGAAAATACTGCCGCCTGCTGGCGCCTCACCGTTATTGCAATGCCGGACGCAATCCTGAAGCACCGCCTGCCACTTGTCCTGTTCAGCTTCCGTCATCATGCAGAAGTAATAGTGCCGGGCATAAGGATGCCACAGGATGAGCGGGAACTGCGTGGGGCACTTAAGGATGGGGGCGGAGCCTGATTTCGATGTGGTCCCTGTAGAGACATAGCTGTGAGCCCCTGTCCTCTGCGGCTGAGGTCTAGGCTTAGGCCTTGAGAAGGCCGTCCTGACCTGGGGATGTCACATAGAAGCAGCTGGCCTTCTTGGGCCTTTTGACCCCACGGCCCAGCCATAGCTGAGAAACCTGGCATCGGTGTGGACCCTCTTCCTAGAGCTGGAAATAGGTCACATCCACCTTGCTCGTGTGTAGGCACTATGACAGGGTCAGACCTCTAGTTCATTACATTCTTGAGTTTCTCTTCAAATTTCAACGGCAGAGGCCAAACTGGTGGTTTAAATATCCGGGGAAGGAGGGAGGCATGTGATTAAACAAAATAAATAGAAGGGTATTTTTCTCTATCTCTTTGGCTCTCATGGATATTTTAGATCCAGCAAGATAACAGGCCTGGGGCTCACCACTCTGGTCAGTAACAGCATAATAACAGTTGTCTGTGGTCCAGCTCTGAGTGGCTGGGATAAGCTGGCTGCTCTCAGCACCACACCCCGAGGCCCACCGGCGCCCTCAGCGCCAGGGTCCATTTGATGCTGAGGAACCTGACGTCAAAGGGGTGGGGCTTAAGAGGGCTCCAGGAGTCCAAGATGGACTTTACCCAGCATCTACAGCCACACGGGCTTCAGTCACAAGTCCCAGGTGCGGCCCTCAGCAGGCTGAAGAGAACAGGGAGGGTTTAAGATAACGCCTCAGAAGCCCTCGGCTCTGCATCCCACTGTAGGGTTACCATCAGCTTTCCCCAGAGACCACCACAGTCTCAGACAGGTGGGAAGGGCCTCCGACACAAAACCCTCATGCATCTGGCTTTGGCATAGGCAGGGCCTGGCTGAGGGCCCACAGGAATCTGTGTCCAGACCCTACCTACACACAGCCTGGGGCAAACTCCATCTTGCAGGCCTCGGAGCCTCCTTTTTGAGGGCTCTGGTTGTTCAAGAGCTCTCTAGACTTTCTAGGCCCCGATGGCCATCCTGCCAAAGGGGGCCCAAACCATGGGCTCAGGGATACCCCTTTTCCTGTAGAGGGCGGTATGGCTGGAGGCCATTGGTTCTTTACCTGGTAGGGAATTGCCAACAAGCTCCAGATACTGGTCGATGGAGGTGAGAACTTTGTAGCCCGCACTGTTGATGACGGCTCGAGGTGGCATCTGCCGCTCGTAGGCCTGAGGAGAGCAAGAGACACGCAGCCTCAAGGCTCAGAATGTGGCCTGGCAGAGACCCCTATTCCAGCAGGCTCCAGGGAGTACTCAGCTACCTATCCGCAGTTGGAGAGGGGAGAACTAGAGGCTTCACGGTGACTGAGCGTGGCTGGGATGCAGCCGCCTGTGGGGTGCTTGTCTAGCATGCTCAGGGAAGGACATCAGTCCCCACAATGGAGACTGACTGACCGGGGACGAAGTGGGTAGTAACTGAAATCCAGCACTGGGCCTGACCTCAAGAGCTGGATGGGGGAGGGGAGGCATCCACATAAAATGTTCAGCACGAGGACTAGCGTATAAGGAGCCTCGCCGGGGCGGCTGCTCCTGTGATGGCCTCTGTGACCGGTGAGGCTGAGTCTGTTACACAGCTGACACTGTGCTGGGGACGCTGCACGCTTCCTTTCACAGGGTGCTCTCACAGTACTAGACGTGGCTCATCTCCGGGTCACACGGACAGGAAGCAGGTGTTGCCTAGGAACCACGGCTGTCCCCAGAACCCAAGGTCTTTGACTGCGACCTTGAACTGCTCACCCCAAATGTCTAAGTTCTAAGCGTCACAGAGTTTTAAAGCCGACAGCAAAGGGAAGGAATGTCTGTCCACTAGGGGGCAAACAGATCCGCTCTGAAACGGGTCAGACAGGCCTGTCTTTAGGGCAGCACAGGAAGAATGTTTGGCAGATGAAATAAAGTCTGTAACATAACCAGGTGGGACTTCCTCCAAGGGCCCAGAGCAAAGACAAGACAAACAGCCCCTGTTTCTTCTCAGACCCACATCAGGGCCAGGAGGATTGGGGAAGGAGAATCAGGACCCCCATTCGGAGAGTGGCACACAGGGCCAGACTGGCCAGCAAACAGCCACTGGAAATGCTGAGGAATAAAGATGGAAGGGAGTCTGGGAGGAGCAGGAAGGCTGGCCAGGAGGGACACTAAGGCAAGCAGAGGCAGCCTCTGCGGTGATGGAGGGATTTGGTGGGACTTTGGAGTGGCCAGAGAGGGGGGTGATCTCAAGAAGGGTTTCTGAAGTGGACACCTGGCCACGGCATGAAATGGCATTGAGAGAAAGAGCCCCAAGGCTGAGCAGATTTGAAGAAGTGGAAGAGGCTCAGAAATTTTGCTTTGGCCCTGGAACTTCCATGGAGGGGCACTAGGTTGCAGGCATGAGCAGGCACGGGGGCTGGAGCCTCGGATTTTGGAATGGGGGAGGGTGGCTGGCCGCCAGGAGCATGGAGGCGGGCAGCGGGCTCGCCGCGCACTCACCACTTTGTTCTCGTACAGCACCAGCCCATAGTTGTGGGGCACCAGGCTGAAGCGGTTTCTCCACTTCTTATTGTCTTCCTGGTACTGGAAAAGGTTCCCGGAGAAGATGATTCGTTCATCCAGGGGCACCTGTGGCAAGCAAGTAGGCGTGAGGGCCCTACTGGCCAGGAAGGGACACGGGAGATCCCAACAAGGTGAGAGCTCAACCATCAGTGCCTGCAGTATAACTCCTCATGCAGAACCCGCCTACACACACACACACACACACACACACACACACACACACACACACACACCCCCCACAAACACCACCAACACCAAATCCCTAGCTTCATCAGGACTCCAAAGCCAGGCTGTACTGTACCCACTGCACAGACGAAGGCCTGAGGTTCGGGGCAGTAAGGGGCTCACTCAAGGTTCAAATAGAACCCAGGCTGTGTATTCATTCAGAGCTGGGCCATGCCTACCGTTTTCCACTCTGTCCTGGTTCCGGGGAGGAAACTGGGGAGCAGGCTGCTTCCTCTATCCACTGCCACTTCAGGGGCCAAAACTTGGAAGGTCCTGACTCCTGGGCAAGCCTCTGCCCAGCTCTGGGCCTCAGTTTCCCTTCAGTGTAAAAAAGACTTGCACTTGTAGCCAGAGCTTTCCCACTCTGCCAGCTGGCCAGGTGGCATCCCTGAGTCTGGGTAGGGAGAGACGGTGGGGCAGCATCCAGGCAGAGAGCTGACCTGTGTGTGGGCTGTGGACACGCTCAGACAGTCTTATAAAACCCCACAAAGATGTGCCTGACCGCAGTGGGGATTGTAAAATGGGGATTGGAGCTGACAGGAGGCAGGCAGCATGGGCAAAACACCAGAGCAGACACAACAGCAGCCGCGTCGGGAATCTGCCACAGTGCGTGACTGATTTGGACATTGGAGGAGGGATGTCTTCACACAGGGTGGGAGCTCAGGCTGAAGCTACAGAGAGTAAGGAAGCTTCTGGAAGGAAGGTATAGAAGCTGCCACAGCCTGTGGGGCCCAGGAGAATCTAGGAAACCTCTGTTTCTGGGCAAGTTCTGCTTATTCTACGATAAACATAATACCAATTACAAGACGACCAAGTGACCAAGTATTTACTACATGTATTGATGGGAGAAATTACAACTTTGTGCCTGGGCCCTCGGGCATCACTCCTCTAGGGCTCTTGCCCCTTCCAAGTTCTTCCCTGGCTCCTTTCCCGAGCTCCCCCCTGCTGCTCCTCAGGGGAAAGCTACACTCTCAAAAGGAGAGCCCATTGTGCTCAAACAATAGGACCCGAGACCAGTTTCCTCTCTAGGAGAAAATATTTACAGGAAAAAAAAAAAAGGGTCTGCTCCCTCCCCCACTGTGGGCTTTGCCCATGGCAGAAGGCCCCCACTTGGTGATCTATATTTAGACTTCTGAAACCTGGCCGTCCAAACTGTCTTCTCTAGAAAGAGCAGCCAGGGTTTTCCTAACACCCTGGGAAGACCCAGCCCCGCCTGGCTTGTGTTTGGTGAACTGGAAGGCCATGGGATAGGAAGAGCCCCAGAGGGTGGTGCGCAGAGGCCATGCCTGAGCAGTGAAGGCAGGCTCCGCGCCCCCCACACACACACCAAGCACACCCCCAGATCCTGGGACCTCTCACTGAGGCTGTCTGGCTGCTGGGTTAGACTTTATTTCTAAGATTTCTTTTTTCCCAAAGGTAAACTGAGGTATTACAAGCAAGCCTGTAATTCTGGATTCAGGAGGGAGGTAGAGGCAGGAGCCCCAGAAGCCCAAGGCCATCTCCGACTACAGATGGAGTTTGAGGCTACCCTGGGCTACGTGAGACCCTATCGCAGAAGGGAAAAATTAGGTTTTTGTTTTGTTTTGTTTTTCAAATGGCGGAGTCATGTTTTGAGTGGAAGGCGTGCAGGAAGCACAAAGTATTTCAGACCCTGCAAATTAGGATGAGCCCTGCCATCCATCGCAAGAGCCCGAGAAGCGGCTTCCCCGCCCCTCTGTGACCCTCAGCGCAGGGGGCAGGGGGCGGGAGTGAGGCTGAGAGCAACCGTCCACCACAAAATAACTATTGGTTCCTTTGCTTGCTGGGGCGGGAGAAGAGACACCAGTCTGTCTACACACACATACCCACGGCCCAGAAAGTCCTCAAACTCCTGCTGTTGCTGCCTCGGCCTCCTGAGTGCTGGGGTCACAGAATCACCACCTCACCCAGACCCACTTGTTCTTATTATGGCTTATTTCTACACCCTAAAAAAATTTACTAGTAATACAAATTCCTATAAAGCTTTGTTTTTGCTACCATAAGAAATTAAAGAAACCATTAAATCTTTAGGAACATTCAACATCAAAAGCTTTACATCTAAATCTAACTGTACTTCGTAGCCCCTGAAAAAACTACAAACTCCTTAAAAAAAAAAAAAGGATTTTTTTTTTTTTTTTTTCTACAAAGCATCTCATCAGCTATACAAAAATCTTCAGTTTTTATACTGGAGCTAATGTCTAGCTGCACCTGAATTTCACATTCTTAGCAAATAGTTGCCTGAGCACATACATTCCACACATTTTAGGACAGCTATTTATTCTTCATCCGCATCTTCCTCCTCATCTTCATCATCTTCTCCCTCCTCCTCTTCTGGTTCATTCTTCTTCTCTGGGCCTACTGGCCTACCAGGGTCCTTCATTCCTGCTTCACTTTTGCCCTTAGCACGGTATGCAGCAATATTCTTTTCACATTTCTCCTTTAGTTCAGCCGCCTTCTGCTGATATGGTTGTTTATCTTTGGCAGATTGTTCAAACCGCATCTCACTCAGTTTCTTTGCAGTATCTCCAATAAGCAGGCCCGGGTGCCTACTTTTGATCTTTGGGCGAGGTTCAGGGCAAACCTGGAAGGCAGACGGCGGTCTTTTTGGAGCATTAGGATCTTTTTTTCTTCCCTTTCTTATCCCCTTTGGGAGGACCGTAATTCTTCATCTCCCTGTCATAGCCAGCATTGTCGCTCTTGGCCAACTCTTCAAACTTCGACTTTTCCTTTGCAGACGTGGTCTTCCATCTCTCGGAGCACGTCTTTGAGAACCCAGCAAAGCTGACCAAGGAGTCGGGCGCTTCTTCTCTGCTCCTCCCGGCAGGTCTACAGGAAGAAGGCGTAGGAGGACCTCTTGCCCAAGGCTTGTTGGGGTCTCCTTCGCCCATGCTGAAGGCGCTCGGGCCTCTATGTGGCAGAAGCTCTTCCCTCAAAGCCGGCTGGGGAGACTTCCTTCCCCAAGCTCCGACGGGGACTCATTAATGGCTTATTTCTAAATCATGTTTCTTTAGAAAATACTTGTGATCATTCTGGTGATTCACACTATTTCCCTTCTATTACTGTCATGACTTCACATGACAATCAGTTTCGTGAGCCATCAGAGAGCTCCCCAGGGTCTGTGAGCAACCTCAGGGCACTCCTCTGGCTATGTGTCCTGTGAGTGTGAAAAGCCAGACAGAGAAAATGCCGAACACAGCATCGGCTCCCACTCGCCTGGGCTCTTGGGAACTGGGCTGCCTGTGCTTTTGTTTTTCTCTCTTTTCGTTCTTGTCTTGAGACAGGGTCTAGGGGATAGCTCTCCTTGTCCTGGAGCTCACTATGTGGACTAGGCTGGTCTATCCCTCAGCTTCCCAAATACTGGGATACAGGCTTGTGTCACTGTGCTGGACTTGCCTGGGGCCTTTCATTCTAGAGAGGAAAAGTAGCTCAGGCCCTGCTCACCTGGGCTGAATTCAAGCCTCCTTTTCCTTGTCACACAGGTGCAGGGCCACACCTTCCAGACCTGAGACTCAGGCTGCAGATGGGGAGAGTGGAGATCGTAGAGATCCCGAGCTAGGAATCTGAGCTAGCTCTGTCTGCCTCCCCAGCCCAGCCCAAGCTTCGGACTTTGTACATCCCAAATCCCTGTCAGTCCCTTCTCTCTCTCTCTCTCTCTCTCTCTCTCTCTCACACACACACACACACACACACACACACACACATTCATACACACACGACCCCTCCCCAACCCTCAGGGCCTCAGTGGAGCAGCCTTCCCAGACCAGCCAAGACTCTGCTGTCGGGATCCACCCAGTCATCTTCCCAGCATCTTATAGTGTAAACAGCTGTTCACTGTCTGTCACCTTGAGCATTTGGAGACCACGTAACCTCAGCACCTAACCTCCGCAGCCAGCAGAGTCACCAGCGAAGATTCCCTTCAGAGAGCCCCAGGGTAGCATTCTAGGCCCTGCCTCAAACTGAGAGACTCAGCAGCCAAACCAACTGTTTCCTTCCTGACCTCACCCCAGCCCTGCCTGTCAACTCCCAGCCTATCCTGGGTCCCCACTCTAGGCCACACTGACTCCCTAGGGCAAGCCAGGCAGCTTCCTCAGCAAACCCAGCCCTAATGCTAGCAACAGGACAATGGGTGACATTATCGTGCATTATCAGCAAGAGCATCTGCTCTCCACACAGTCCTGAGGGAGGGAGCCTAGACCATGTGGCCTGGGACAGTATCAATGGATCTGAGAGGCAGGAAGGGACCATGACACTTCCACTCTGGAGGGGAGGTGGCAGGACCAGAGTTCTGTCACATCTCTCTTGACAGGTGAGTAAGCTGAGCTGTCAAGACTGCAGAATGAAGATGAAGAGGCTGAACTGGCAGTGGGGAGCGGGGAGCAGGGAGCGAGTGAGGAGAGGTTACCCTCAGCCAGTGAAGGCCCTTGGAGACCAGCCTGACAACACAGGGAAACTGAGGCCTAGAGAAGCCAAAGGCCCATGAGAGAATGGGTGGCAGAGCCCAGGCTGGTGCATCTCACCTTGCGCCAGAGCAGCTGTGCCTGCGGCGGCCCGGTGCCCTCAATCTCGTGGCGCATGCTGTTGAAGAGGGAGACGCCATATTGATCCTCATAGAAGCGGAGAAACTCTCTAAGGATCTTCCCAGTTTTCTCTGAAAGGGAAGCATTTGTGAGAGTGTGAGGTCACTGTGGACACCTAGGGAATCAGGTCTGCAAACACAAAGCACAAACTAGGGCTGGTCACCTTGGTCCCTCGAACGCTAGGCGAGGGCTTTGGTCATGAGCTGTCTGTACAAGCTGGCTACCCGCTCCTGAAAGGAAGCTGGTTCAGTGGCCTCACACAGAAAAAGTAAAACCACAGCCAACAGGCCCATGAGAGATTTAGCCTCACCAGTGACCAGACCGGTGCAGAGTGAGAGAGACTGTTTTTTTTCCTGGTTTGACAGGGTGTAGTAAGAGGGACCAGGCTCCGTAAGGCGGCCCCATGCTTCTTTTGATGCTCTGCTCACACCAGAGACACTCTGCAGGCCAGCAAGCGTCAGCTAACTGTGCCGTGATGGCTGACAAACCAACCCACCCAGAATGGAAAAAAGCCAGGCGACGGTGGAAGCGACTGGTAGACCCTGTGATACAGAGTAATAGTCTCACGCTGAACAGTCTCTGAGCAAGAATGGTTTCTATTGGCAAAAAGGAAGTAGTGAGGAAAAGATGGGGAGACCACAGGCTCCGGCCTCCGGGTACAGGGGCTGATGGGGGTTGGGTGCAGATAAGCCTCCTCACTTTCAAACATTTGAGTAATTTACTCGTGACTCAAATACACATCTTAAATTCATCTGCCAAGTTAACCTTATTTTTTTCTTTCTTTCTTTTGAAACAAGCTATCATGTAGCCCAGGTTGACCTCTAACTCTCTACACAGAAAAAGATGACATTGAACTGCTCCCAATCCTCCAGGCATGTACCACCAAGCCCTGTTTATGACTAAGAAACCCCGAGATCTATGCATCTCAGGGACAGCCTTCATCAATGGAGCTACAGTCGCAGCTCTGAAAGCCAACAGCCTGCTTCTCTTAACTGCTTCTCTCTAACGCTGAAGCGGTTTCAGAACAGAGAAGATGAGTCGTGGCCTCCAGAGCAGGCCCAGCAGGCAGCAGGCTCAGTATTGATCCTTCTTGGGTGTCCCTGTTTATCAATGGGGAAACTGAGGCACCAAGAGGGCTCAAAAGAGGAGCCTCCTGTCACTAAAAAGCTACAACTAGAATCTCAGCCTGGGGGTTATAAAGCTCCCCTCCCTGGGCCTCAGTTTCCCCTCCACACTGAGAGGGCTAGAAGCAAGGACAGACCACCCTACCACCACTGACAATCTTGGATTACAAGTTCTAGATACCTGGTCCTTCAACTAGAGACCATTGTACATCTCCAGGTCTCCAGAGTCCATTGCCTAAGACAACGCTTCATCCAATCCTCTCAGAGGATCTGAGGCAGAGCCCATGTCATGGCCCCTTTATACAGGAGAAAACTGAGATGCAGAGAGGTTGTGTCATCCACACAGTCACACAGAGACTGGGTGATGGGACTGCAATGTAACCTTAATCCTGGGATCCATCCAGGAGCTGGTGGCCAGGAGGAACCCGCGGCTCACCCCACATTTCCACACTCAGTCTCTGGCCCATACCTCTAACCCTGCCTCAGTGACAGAAGTGACAGGAGAGAGGGCGTGTGCTCTCAGAGCCAGTCTGCCATGTAGCCCTTCCCTGGAATGAGGTCCTGTCTGTCCAAATTCTGACTTGGGGTGGGGGTGGGGGGACGAGTGAGGAGCACATTTTGAGTGACTGTTTTGTGAAAACTGAAGAGCAACAGCCCCTCAGAGACCATGGGAATTGTTCTGGGATAATAAGGCAGGGGTAGGGTGAGAGTAGGGGAATGGGACTGTCACCCCCACAGCTACTGCTGACAAGGTGCTAACCCCAGGGTGGGGCACAGCTTCATAAGGGCTAGGGAAGAGGAGGCTTAGTGGTCCACTGCCCTTGGCTGGGGTTTGGCCTCAACTCCCTGTAAGCAATGAACGTCCTGCTGACAAGACAAGCTTAGAGCTTTTACCCACAGCTCTGAGGCCCAACCCAGGCCTCAGACAGAAATGGGGGGTGGGGCTACATCTCCATTAAATGATGTGAGAAAAGAGGGTACGCTCAAGTACCCCAAAACAAAGAGTGTTGGCCAGGACCCCTGTTGCCCCTGATTGTAATCCCAGACACTCCCCACTACTTGACCTCAGGAACCATATGGAACCTGACCCAAATCTGGCAAACCCTTTGCAAGCTGATCTTCTAGAACCAACCAACATGTGAGAAGGCAGGACCCTGTTACTATACATCTAAATTCAGTTCTGGAGCTTAGTGGTGAGATTACAAACCTCACGTGGAGGGTCCTTTCCTTTCAGGGAACTGGCTGACCCTCAAAGGGCCACATACAGCTGAATGAAGAGAAGGGACCTAGGGGGTGCAAAAATGGCCAAATGGCTAACAAGCAAAGACAAGAATGGCTTGTCTTGGGGGGCAGCAAGAGCCAGGCAAGTGTCAGGAACTGTGATAACCTATGAGTTGGCACCTCAGGAAAAGCTGAAAGAGGATCGACAGAGTCACACAAGAGCCTCGGCAGGGGAGTGCCCTCTGGAGAGATGTGCCAGTCAGCTGGAAAAGGACTACCACGTGACAGGGACGAAGGAAGATCCGAAAAGCCTGAGGAATGAGGATCTGCAGTTTTCAGGGACAGAGGAGACCCCAAAGGTCAGCAACACTCCATGCGGTTCTAACTGAACTTAAACCTCTCAGGGTCACATAGGAGAAGACTTGAGTAGGGCAGTCCCCTTTCCTTGGAGACCCTTTACAGTACTCACCTGTGTTTTACTATACTCCAGGCTGGCCTCGAACTCACTGTGTAGCCCAGGTTGTCCTGGAACTCACTGCATAGGGCTCAGGCTGTCCTGGAACTCACAGCAATCCTCCTGTTTTACACTCTCTGAGTGTTGGAATTGCAAGCAGGAGCCATCAGAGCTATTGCTTCTGTCACTCTTGCATGCAGCTAGCTCCAGGGGGCTGTCAGGATTCCAAGACTCAGCCTCCAGCCTGGGCATCTGCAGGTGGCACCTACAGCCTGGGACAGACCTCTCCCCATACCTGCCCACAGCAGCTTCCCATCTCTTGGTCTCTGAAGACACTCCAATCCATGGATTTGGAGTGGACATTAAATAGGGCTTCTGAGGCCAAAGCTCACCACCCTGAGAATTACTTTGAACCAGAAAGGATGAAGGGGTCACTAGGTCACACAGGAGATGGGGAAAGTGAGGACCTGAGTGGGCTCTGACCACTGCCTAAACCTCCGAGGGTAGCAGCAAGGCAAGCTGTGGCCCCACCTGATGAGAGGGGGCCAACCTTGGGGACCCTGGGCCTAGAACCCGGAGGCTTGTACAATGCTATAGATGCATGGGTGGGGCGGTCTGTAGGTGTGGCCTAGCCTCACCCCACCAGGTTGCATATTTTAGTCCACCCTTGTGCACTGACTCAGCCCCAGACATAGCTGCGTGAGGAGCAGTGGGGGCTTCGAAAACTGATGGACTCGCCCTGCGGCTTCTGGGTGAGAGTGAGGCATGGAGCTGCCCAGTTCTCTTAGACTTGAGTTCTTCATCTAGAAAACAGGCATCACAGAGCCCCTTCACAGGGCCAGACAGGGCAGGACATGGACAACGAGGTCTATACACAGCCCAGGGCACCAAAAATGCTAATTAATTATAACAGCGCTCAGCTTGTAACGATGCAGGCAAAAGGTGGAGTGAACTATTTATTACCAGGTACATCTTTTATAGCTTGAAAAAAAGCCAATAAATATCTAAAAAAAAAAAAAAAAAAAAGGAAAGAAAACCCCAAAGATCAGACAAAATAGGAGTCAAGGAAGCAGAGGATGTATATATCACCAGGTGTGAGCTCAGGTTCCCCTACCATCACCCCACCCTGGGCTGGGGTCCCATCTCTGACCCCCTATGCCAGCAATACCCCGCAGATGTGGACTCCCCTCACACAGACCCTGGGCTGCCTGTCTCTACCCACAATATGCAGATTTCTCTGCTAGCCCCAGGGGAACAGGTTACATATAAATTCCTACCTCCCAGGTTATAATGAGAGGCTCAGGGAAGATCATTCCAATGTGAGTCAACAAAAAACAAACAAACTGGGCCCCATGTCAGTAGTCTCAGGGTTCCTGCCTGCCTCTCTGTCACCCCAGGACAGCTGGAAGACCAGAGCTGGGCAGAGTGTCCTGTGTTAGGCAGCTCAGGACACCAGGGGGGTAGGCACTGTCTCTAGGCCATGTCTCAAGAAGGCAGTGTATTCCACCAAGCTCTGAAAAGGCCGGTTCCCAGGACAGGGGTCCAAAACAAAGTGGTCTGTCTGTCCCTGTGTGTGTGTGTGTGTGTGTGTGTGTGTGTGTGCGTGCGTGCGCGCACGCATGCGCATGCACATGCCACCATGCCTCTCTGGAAGGAGGATTTTGCCGTTTTGCTTTTGCAATGCTGGGGACTGGACCTTCTGCTTCACGCATGCCAGGTGAGCACTCTGCCAGTGAGCTACATCGAAGGCCAACAGGAAGTCGGCTTTGAACCTTAGTTCCCCCAGAGCCTGTCCAGGGTCTCCAATCCCAGGGTCCCTCCACATTTCACATGGTGCCTTTATGAGGCCCTAGCTTTACTTTCTAGGTCCCTACCCAGGCCCAAGAAGAAGAAAAGTGGCCTCAACTGTCCCCGTTTTACAGAGGAGGTAACCCAGGCTCAGAAAAGCAGAGTGACTTTGCCAAAGCCATGCATCTGTGGGTTCCAGGTCAAAGACAGCAGCCCTTGATCTAGCCCCTGCCTGCTCCCATGTAGCCAAGGCTGGCAGGCCGCCTTCCTGCCTACTGGACACCCTTGCTGATCTTCCCTTGACTAGAATAGGCAGGTAGGTCTCAGATGACCTAAGTAACGAAGATCTCAGCAGGGCTGCCCTAGCCTCAGGAGCAGACCAAGATGATGGCCTCAGCACCTCCACTGACCTTCTGGAGAGTCAAGCAAATTAGGGGCTGGCTGACCACCTCAGGCTGGACAGAGGGACTGAGAAGTGGACAGA